CAGGCTGGTCTCGAACTCCTGAGCTCAAACAATCCGCCCGCCTCGGCCTCCCAGAGAGCTAGGATTACAGGCGTGAGCCACCATGCCCGGCCCATAGTATTTTTTAATTCTTTTATATCCTTACTGATTTTATGTCTACTTGTTCTATCAATTATTGATAGATGGATGTTAAAATCTTTGATTATAGTTGCAGATTTGTCTATTTTTTCATGCAGTTCTGTCAAGTTGTCCATGTATCTTGAAGCTGTCATGAGCTCTGTCTGCATAGAATCACTATGTCTTGATGAACTGACCCTTTTTTCATTATGAAATGACCCTCCTTATTCCTGGTGATACATTCTGTGCTCTGAAATATACTTTATCTGATAGTAATATAGTCATTTCAGCTTACTTTTGATTAATTAGCATAGTATATATTGTTCACCCTTTTACTCTTAAACAATTTGTATCTATATTTAAGGTGAGTTTCTGGTGGGCAGTATATAGTTGAGTTGTTTTTTTAGTCTAATCTTACAATTTCTGATCTTTAATTGGGTTGTTTAGACCTGCTGTCCTCAACCCCTGAGCCTCAGACTGGTACCGGTCTGTGGCCTGTTAGGAACCTGCCGCATACCAGGAGGTGAGTGGTGGGCCAGCAAGCAAAGCATCATCTGTATTTACAGCCACTCCCCATCGTTTGCATCACAGCCTGAGCTCCACCCCCTGTCAGATCAGTGGCAGCATTAGATTTTGCATTAGAGTGAGTTTTGTAATTATTTCATTATATCTAACAATGTAATAATAGAAATAAGGTACACAATAAATGTAATGTGCTTAAATCATCCTGAAACCATCCCCATCCCACCCCCCAACCCCAACCCCCATTTGTGGAAAAATTCTCTTCCATGAAAACCCATGTCTGGTACCAAAAAGGTTAGCTACCACTGGTTTAGACCATTTACATTTAATGTGATTCTTGATGTGTTTGGATTTTAATCCATCATCTTGCTATTTGTCTTCCATTTGTCCCATTTGCTCATTGTTTCTTTTTCCTCTTTTTCTTTCTTTTGAATTTATTATTTTTTATGCTTCCATTTCATCTCCTTTGTTGGCTTACTGGCTATAACTCTGCTTTGTTATTTTAATGGTTGCTTTAAGGTCTATAATGCGCGTCTTTATCAGTCTACTTTCAAGTGATACTACATATATTGTATAAGAACCTTACAATAACATTATTATTTCTCCTTGCCTGGCCTTTGTGCTAGTGTTGTCAAACATTTTACTGCTCTATATGTTATATACCCCATAGCGCATGGTTGTTATTTTTGCTTTAAACAGTTGATTATCTTTTAAAGAGATTATAATAAGAAAAAAATTTTTTGTCTACTCATGTAGTTACCATTTCCAGTGTTTGTCATTCCTTTTTATAGATGTAGGTGCCCATTAAGTATCATTTTTCTTCTGCTTGATGAACTTTCTTTAATATTCCTTATAGTGCAGGCTGGCCCATCATGAATTCTTCCAGCTGTTACGTGTCTGAAAACATCTTCATTTCTTCTTTGTTTTTTTTTTAATTTCAAATTACACAGTACAAGTAATTTTGGTTCCATGAATCACTTTTATAATGCTTGAGTCATAGTTACGAGTGCCCCTCACCCAGATACTGTTCCTTATACCCCGTTATGTAGATTTTCTCCCATCCCCTCCTCTTCCTTCCACCCCTGGTTGATTTCTGTTGAGTTTTACTTTCCTCTGTGCACATGTGTGCTCATCAGTTAGTACCAATTTAGTAGTGAGTACGTGTGGTGTTTGCTTTTCCATTCTTTAGTTACTTCACTTAGGATGATGGTCCCCAGTTCCATTCAAATTATTTTAAAAGGCATTAATCCATCTTTTTTTATGGCTGAGTAGTACTCCATGGTATACATATACCACATTTTGTTAATCTGCTCATGAGTTGATGGGCACTTAGGTTGATTCCACATCTTTGCAATTGTGAATTGTGCTACAGTAAACATTCAAGTGCAGGTGTCTTTTTGATAAAATTACTTCTTTTTCTTTAGGTAAAAACCCAGTAGTGGGATTGCTGGATCAAATGGTAGGTCTACTTTTAGTTCTTTGAGGAATCTCCATACTGTTTTCCGTAGAGGTTGTACTAATTTGCAGTCCCACCAACAGTGTATAAGTGTTCCTTTCTTTCTGCATCCACGTCAGCATCTATTGGTATTGGACTTTTTAATAAAGGCCATTCTGACTGTAGTAAGGTGATATCTCATTGTGGTTTTAATTTGCATTTCCCTGCTGATTAGTGACATTGAGCATTTTTTCATATGTTTATTGGCCATTTTAGACTAATGGAACAGTACAAAAAACCCACATATAAAACCATCCACATACAGCCAATTGATCTTTGATAAAGCAGACAGCAGTATATACCAGGGGAAATAAATCCACATTCAATGATGGTGCTGGGAAAATTGGATAGCCACATGTGGAAGAATGAAACATGATCCATATCTCTCACCACTTACAAAAATTAATCCAAGATACATAAAGGACTTAAATGTAAGGCATGAAACCATAAGAATTCTAGAATAAAATGTGGGAAAAACTCTTCTAGATATTGGCCTACGTAAATAATTTTTAAAGGAGACCATAATGGCAATCACAGTAACAGCAATAATAAATAAATGGGACTTTATTAAATTAAAAAGCTTCTGCACAGCCAAGGAAATAATTAACAGAGCAAACAGACAACCTACAGAATGGGAGAAAATATTCACAAGCTATACATCTGATAAAGGACTAATAACCAGAATCTACAAAGAACTCAAGCAAATTAGCAAGGAAAACTCAAACAACTCCATTAAAAAGTGGGCAAAAGAGATGCACAGAAGCTTCTCCTTTGTTTTTGAAAAATATTTCCTCTGGGTGAAGAATTCTAGGTTGAATGTTTTTTTCTTTCAGTTCTTTAAAGAAATTGCTGCACTGTCTTCTAGTGTGCATTGTTTCTGACAAGGAATCTACCATCATCTTGTTATTCTGTATATAATGTGTCATTTTTCCCTGGCTGCTTTTAATATGTTTATTTCATCTAAATCATTTAAAACTCTGTGGCTGATTTTAAGCAGTTTGATGATGTGTGACTTCATGTACTTTTCTTCATGTTTCTTGTGCTTGTGTTTCTTCAGCTTCTTGGACCTATTCATTTAAAGTTTTTATCAAATTCAGCAAATGTTCAGCCATTATTTCTTCAAATATTTTTTCTGACTCCTCATCTCCTGTCTTTGGAAACTCCAGTTATGCTTGTCTTTGGCTGCCTAAAGTTGTCCCACAGTTCGCTGATACTTTGTTCATTTCTTTCAGTCTTTTTTCTCTCTCTGTTTCATTTTTGTACAGTTTCTCTTGGTATGTCTTCAAGTTCACTAATTTTTTTTCTGCAGTATCTACTCTGCCACTAATCCTATACACTCTATGTTTCACCTCCACCACTGCATTATCTCTAGTAATTTGATTTGGGCCTTTGTATTTTTGATATCTCTATTTAACATATTCGGTCTTTCCCTTAGCTTCTTAAATTTGTGGAATATAATTCTAGTAACTGTTTTAATGTGCTGGTCTACTATTCTGTCATCTTTGTCACTTCTGGGGCAATTTCAATTGATTTTTCTCCTCATTTTGGGTTATATTGTCCTGCTTCTTTGTGTACATGGTAATTTTTAGTTGTATGCCAGACACTGAGAATTATATATTGTTAGACGGTAGACATTTCTGTGTCCCTAAAAATGTTCTTGAGCTTTGTTCTGGGATGCAGTGAAGTTACACAGAAACAGCGATACTTTGGGGTCTTGCTTTTAAGCTTTTCTGGGCAGGACACTATCAGCATTTAGTTCAGTACATTTTCCCCATTACCAACGCAACACCCTTTTTAGTGCTCTGACCTGAATTTAGTGCTCCCTGAATTATGAGGTTTTTCAACTGCAGCTATTGGCAATAGGCACTGTCTCAGCCCTGTATGAGCTGCAGACACTGTTCCTCTGCTCCTTTTGAGTGGTACTTTCCCTGGACTTGGGTAGCTTTCTCACATGCATTTGTACTCCACTGAACATTTGAGGGGACTCTCTGCAGACCCCCAGCATTCTTTTTCTGTACAGCTCTCCTCTCCAGCATTCTGCCCTGCAAACTCTAGCGGCCTTGGCTTTTCAGGATTCCCAGCTGCATCCTCGACTTAGGGAGACCACCAGGCTCTGTCTAGCTCCCCTTCCCTGCATCACAACCTAGAAACATTCTCCAGACAGTAAGCTAGAACAATCATAGAGCTCACCTCGTTAGAATCCTGTCTCTAAGGGATCACTGCCCTTCATGTCCTGATGTCCAGTGTCTTAAGAGCCATTGTTTTGTATATTTTGTCCAATGTTTTACATGTATCAGGAAGGAGGCAGATATGGTCCCTGTTACTAGCTTGACCTATTTTCTTTTGGGTTTTGTAATTTCTGATTTTTCTAAAAGGACCATTTATTGGGCTTTTGTTATAAGAAAAAGAAAACCATAAAGGTAATTTTTTTTCCAGTTTTAAAGTTACATCAATGTGAAAGTGTGTGTTTTATAAAATTTAAGTCTAGCTGGGCCTTTCAGTTTATTAAATCAGTTTTATAATTAAAATGTGCATGCTTTAAGCTTTAAAAAATTAGCACAAGTGAACAAGGTAGGAGTGACCATCTAGACAACAGGGATGGCTGCCTGAGTCCATATAGAAAATTCTGTCTGGACTTCACACAGGCTTCTTAGAGCACAAAATGTGCCTCCAGGGCCCACCCTCCCTTCTAATATCCTCACTGTTCTGCAACATTTTAACCATGAGATTTCTGCTGAACTTATTTCTTTGGTCACTTAGTAACTGAACTTCCTATTATATAAGAAAGAAATAATAAAGCCTACTAAAAAATAGAGATTCTCATATTCATTGCCCTAGGTCTGTGGCATAGGAGGCTGGTCTCAATTAATCTTGAAAGCAAATCTCAAAATGTGCATGTTGGACTGAGCATGGTCAGATTTTCCTTTGATACTCTGCTCAAATGGAGCATCTGAAATGTCGGGCTCATTCTAATTTGGGTTGAAGAACATCTTGCTCTACTTTTGTTGCAGTTCAGATAATTTTAGAATATATAGATTCAATCTCATTTTATAGTATTCCACTAACTTTTGAAAAAAAATTAGTACATCGAAAGAAATTGGGGTTTGAGACAAGGCTCATAAAATTCCTTTGATTTATAGGGTAGCTCCACTGCAATTATAGGTTCAAAGCTATCTCTTTAAAAGACTAAAATTATCCTGGAGTATAGCTGTATAAGAACACTACCAATTCTCTCATTTATTTAGATGAAGAACTAGTGGATGTTTCTGCATCTGTCTTACCGGAATTGAAAAGAGAAACATATGGCAAGATTCAAGTCTGTGCAAAACAGAAGCTGACTCGTCACTGTTCTTTTAACACAATTCAGGCTTCTGAGAGGATCCAAAGGAGGGTGAACTCGGAACCCAGCAGCCCGTACAGAGAAGAGCAAGGTATCCTGCCCTCGCTTAATCCATGGAATCCATCAGTTGCCATGTAATTGTAGCCCTACTCATGTGCTGGCATTTTAGTATGAATTAACTCTCTAGGCCCTGCCTGTTTTTTCCAGAGGCCTACTTTTCGCTTGACTGAAGTGAAACAATTATTGAGGGCAGGGGAGATGCTGACTTCACAGTGTGTGAACATGGCCCCATGCCTAAAATTGACCCTGGTCAGCCTTGAAGATCAGTTGGCTTGCAGTGGTTGGCCTGTTTGATATGTCTCAGAAATTCATCAGACTTACAAAGCAACGCTTACTTTGTTTTCTTACTAATTTTTGATGACTCCTGAATTCACCATAACAGCTAGCTTCTGGAAATTTCTGTCTTTTAATCAAAACCAGAGTGGATTTGAGATACTCTTGTAATACCTGAGCTGAGAATAATGAATTCTGCTGTATATAATTTTGGTGCGGATAAGTCTCTTTCCGTATTTGTTAAACCTTCATTTTCCCTTTCAGGATCAGGTGGCTACTCTTTAGAAATTGGAAGTCTAGCAGCTATCTACAGACAGAAAATAGAAGACAATTCACAGTAAGTAGTCTGGAAAAACATATATTCTTTCTATTTCCTAGCGTTAACTTTGACTAAATTGAAATGCCACCCATTAAAAGATAAAATTTGTTAGCCATTTGTTTATTAAGAGTTGATAAGTTTCCTTTTTGTGCCCAACACTTGTGGGAAGTAGCACTGGGGACACAAAAGATGAAAAATTTATCCTGTAAGCTATGATAGCTGATAGGGAACAAAATAAAAAGATAAATACACTAGAAAAAGACATTTCAGTACTAACATGACACTGAGCATCATAGTCTCATAAATCACTCTGTCATCATCATAGCTAGCTTTGTTTATTGATTACCAGGTACTGTTCCAAGGGCTTTAATGTATGTTAACCCATCTGATCACAGTAACAATCTTTTGAGGTTGGTACTATTATCCTTATTTTACAGAGAGGAAACTGAAACCTAAAGAGATTAAGTAACTTGTCCAGGGTCACATTGCTAATAAGGGACAGAGCTGGCATTCAAACCCAAGCTATCTGACTTAAATTTGAGGTCTGATTTTGAAAGAAATCATACAATATCAGAGAAAGCATAAGAAACGCCAAAGAGAGAACGGGGGAGGTTTTTGATGACAGATATGGGAAGAAACAGTTTATAAGGCAGGGTCAGAGAGTAGAGGGACCCAAAGCTGATTAGTTTAGTTGTGATGCTTTGTCCAGATAGGATAGTAAAAGGAGAGGTCACTCAGAAGCAGGGCTTAGGTACTGGAGGTAAGTAGGTCAAGTTGGCGGGAAGCTCTGAAAGCCAGGTAGAAAAGTTTGAATTGATCACAGGAACAGTAAAGAACTATTAAAGGCTCACTGAGGAAGACCACTCTGGCTGCTTTTAGAGGTGAGAGTAGAAGTAGAGAAGGCTCTAGAGGAGCAGACACGGAACAGAGCGTTTGTAGTCTTTCTGGTCTGCAGTGGGGCAGATCTAAGCCATGTCAGCTGGAGATGGAAAGAAAGGGAAATCAGCGTAAGCCAGTGAGTCAGCAAGACTGGCTAAAGTAGACAAAGGCATCAAAAAGAGCATCTGGGTGCCGGGTGAGGGTGCTACTGTTGGTGGAGATGGGGAGGTTGAAGGTGACCACTGGAGGTAGGATGGTGGGGGATGTGCTCAGTGTGGGCGTGCTGAGTTTTGTAGAGCTGAGCAGTACCGATTACTCACTCAGGGAGCTGTGGATGGAGAGGTGGCTCATCTCTGCAGCCCAGGGCACCCCATTTTATTCCCGGCAGCACAACGGACAGTGAGATGGTGGGCAAAATAGGTCTCCGTGATTCCGTCAGAAAGGCTGAAAGAAATTCCTGTCCTCTGTTAACTATTTTAAAGGATTTTCCTCGTCTATTCCTAAAAGTATACTAAAAACATAAATGTGGTTTTGAATCTTCGGAAATTTTTCTATATAAAAGGTGAAGCCATTGTTTATGATCTCATATATCGATGAGACTTAATTTTGAACACATGCTACCTAAAAACTCTTTAGTAATGCTGAGCAGAATGGGACAAGGACAGAAAATAACAATTTAATAGGTAAGTTTGTTTCTTCACTCACTGCCCACTTCATTTACTTCACGCTGGGTTTGAGACAAACTTGATTAGTCTTTGTCTGAGTCAAAGTCTGGTCCAGTCTCTTTTGTGCAGCCAGGGTCTCTCACAGTGACTGAGGACAGGGGCTTTGCCATCAAGCAGATGTGGGTGTTGGGCCCAGATTCCCCACTGCAGAGCTGGCTCACCTTAGGCAGGTCGATTAACCTCTGAGCTTCTGTTTTCCTCACTGGTAAACTAGCGGAGAGGAAAGTAGCTATTATGAGCATAACTGGATAAAATTATTATAATATTATGCTAATCATAATAGTATCTACACGCCTGGCAAAGGAGTAAGTGCTCAGTAATTAATAACTATTAGATGGGGAAAAGAAGAAACAGGAACCAGGGTTAGCTCTCACCTGGGATTACAACGGCTCTTCCCACATTGGCTCTCCCACCCCAAACCCTGCCCATCCATCCAGGCTGTACCTGGTGATTTGGCTCTGGGGTGAGCTAATATGTGCTCGGGGACTGTGTTTTAATATCTGCCTGAGCAGTATTATCTCACTTCTCACTTGGTATGGCTCTCTTTGGGGACGGGAAGGGTCAGGAGTTGGCTGAACATGCCAACTTGATGGTCCTCATTATATTTCTCTTTATTACAGGGGAAAAGCCCTTGCCAGTAAGAGAGTGGGGCCTTCGTCAAGCAGCTTGGACCCTGCCGTTCCTTTCCCTGTCCTCTCTGTTGATTCAGAATATTGTGTTAATCCTGGTTTAGCCCACCCAGTATTGCCTGTTACTCAGACGGACCTGCAGGCATTCTCCGGGCAGAATGGCCTGAATGGACAAGTAAACGTCTCGCTCGCTTCTGTAGCCTCTGCCGTGGAGAGCTTGAAGCCAGCTCTGCTTGCTGGCCAGCCCTTGGTATACATACCCTCCCCCTCCCTGTTCATGCTGTATGGGAACCTGCAGGAGGGGCCATCCCCAGGGTCGGGGTCATGGTCAGAGAAGGATGGCAGAAGTTCGGAAGCCCCAGCTGCAGCAGAGCTGTCATCTGCACCCTTGGCTCAGAAGCGCCTCTGTGAGGAGAGGAAGCCTGAGGAAGAGGGTGAGCCAGCCATGAAAAGACAAAGAAGGGAATACGAAGACAGCCCCCTGTCGCTCGTTATGCCCAAGGTAAGGGAGTGGATGTGTGGTGATGTGGCTAGTGACATCCCACTAGCCCTGAGCTTCTTCCTAGTGGAGACACACAGATATTAATAAGTAGTGGAGTCTAGAATATAGGCTATTTCACGTGTGATTTGCATAATTAAGCTCCTGGACCGGCTCTCCCAAAAATCCTGCCTTCAAATAGTACTGTAAGAAAAGTGATTTTTATAAAAGTCACACTTTGTATAAAATGCTAAAAAGTATGAAGAAGAAAAAACGTACCCATGATCCCACCACACAGAGGCAATCACTGTTAACATGTACTTTTCTCCCAGTCTTTTTTGTATCCTTTGTTTTTAAACAAGTTGGGATCACTGAAGTAATCATCCTAATCCAGGATGCAGCTGAGTTCCAGAGTCACTCTTCACTGCCCAGGGATCCTGTTTCCCTAGCTACAAAATGGAAAAAACACAAATATGAGCTGTCCACATCTCCCACTTGGTAGCCATTCAGAAGTTAATGAGATATGACCAGTAAAACTTCCAGAAAGCAGAAGCGCGGTCATTACTGCAGCTTGCAGTAGGTCAGCTAGGCACACTTCATGGAAATGTTCCATTAATTAGGAACCTTTCTCCTCTCTGTCTTTCCCTTGCCAGAATGAATTTTTCTCATTTTGTATATAGCCTGGGTTGCAGATCAGAAGTAAAAGAATGGCATATGTCTTAGATAACCAAGACAGCTTGGGCCAGCCCACAGTTCCTATAAGGCCCCCAAAAGACTGTAGCATCGACACCCTGTATTTGTTACCAGCTCAGAAATTTTAGTCTAAAAAACATGGCCAGTTTTCTATTACTATAATCTCTATCATTTCTATACTTAGAAATTATAAGCCTGTAGATGCATGTAACATAACATTTATTTTCAGACCGTTCCCATAAACAGAATTAAAACAACTTACATACATAAAATCAGTGCAGCACGTAGCTCTGTTTTACTTTATTGTTTATACGTTAGCCATGTTGAGAAAGCTGTTATTAAGATTTACTACTGGAATTTTGACTTGATGTTCTGGTTCCTGGTTTGTTTGTGCTTAGAAACCCTCAGATTCCACAGACTTTTCCTCTCCCAAGACTCTGGGCGGCAGGGCATCCACGCCCCTCGAAGATGCTCATGGGAACAGCCAGCTCCCTGCTGCAAAGGAGGCTTCAGGAAAGGCTGCAGCAAACTGCTTTGCTTCTTCTGAGTGGGAAAATCCTTCAGGAAATATAGATGTTGAAAAGCCTTCAAAGGAAAACGAAAGCACCAAAGAGTCCTCTTTGCTGCAATATCTTTATGTGCAGTCTCCAGCCGGTAAGAGATGTCATCGTGCCTTAGAGTCCCTTGTGGTAGTAGTCAGATCCCAAATTGAATTTTTAAATGTTTGTCTGTGTCACCTGACAAAAGCGGTTCATTGATGTGCTGCTGTCTGTTGCCTCTGAGTCACTTTACTCTTAGCCCCTTTGTTTTCTCCATCTATATATAAAATGAAGGGAGAAGCTGCTTCTACTATTACCAACTTCAGGGATAATGGGAAAATAATTAGGGCAGGTGATTTAAAAAAAAAATACATTAAACATTATTTGGTGAAAAAGCACAACAAATTCAAGACATGATTCTATTTTTATAATGCAGCTGAGTCTGCTCTTGGCTTAATATAATAGTATGAATCTATTAGCCCTTATGCACAGCTAGCATTCTGAGCTCTTGTGTATCTAGAAGTACTGAGGATATCATCGTGGTCGAGTACCAGGTCTGGCGTAAGAGGGCTTGACACTTGCAACCACTTATTATCTGCATGAACTTAAGTATTCAGCCATCCTCATTGGTAAAATCACAATAATAACAGTATCTGCTTCATGGGGGTGCTATGAAAACTAAATTAAATTTAATAAGATAATACATCTGAAGCACTTAGAATAATAGTGCCTGGCTGTTAGTAAGACTCAATAATGGTGTTACTATTTTGAATTAAAGCTGAAATACAATAGATACTTAATTTTTAAGATATGCACTATGTACATAAAGCTGCTCTTAATGCAAAGATACTTAAATTGATTTTCCTTGATTGCTTACTGGCTTACGCCTAACCTGCCAGAACAGGTTAGGTAGGTATTTATTACTGTTCACTTATCTAGATACATTCCTTTAGCAAATATTTTTTGTGTGCTTACTCTAAGCATGATCCTCAGTGTTGGGGATACATTGATGAACAAAAACAGACTCAGCCCCGGATGAGTGAAAATTACAGCCCAACACAGGGATTCTTAACTTTTTCTGTGCCATGGACCCTTTGCAGTCTGGTGAAGCCCAAGGATTCCTCCTCAAAATGTTTACAGATGTGTAGAATTAAGTACATAGGATTACAAAGGAAGCCAATTAGATTGATTATAATTAGAAAAACAGTTTTTGAAATTACTTATAATAAAGAGATCTGGCAGCAAGTCCAGTATTGTCTTAATCTCCATGTTCTAATAATTAGCTCGACAGTGTATTAAGAAATCTGCAATAGCTATGATGTAATATGAACATTTCTGGACTTTTTACTAGTGACAAAGTCAAGGTACTATTAATACTATTGTGATTTGTGGCCTGTGATCATAATTGAGTGAAATATAAATTTTCAGTTGGAAGTTTATAAAAGTAAAGATGTCATTACTCCCATCCAAGTTTCACTTTCCTCCTTAGCTGGAGTTCAGTGGAACTCCCATTAAGATCCCTTTGCAGGCATCAACCAAATGATCGCACAGGTCAATGTGATATCGTAGTCTTGGCCACTGCTGTGCAGGAGTGGGATGGGGCTACTTGGCCTGGCCAGGTGGCGGAGGGTTTCATTGTTCATTGATTTATTGTGGACTTTCATTTGAAAGGGCCATGAGCAGTGTGAGCTTGAATGGTATCCTCATGTTGTGTTGATCTTCACTTTGTTCTGCTTCTCTTTCAGGATTAAATGGTTTCAATGTGCTCTTATCTGGCAGTCAAACCCCTCATACTGTGGGCCCATCTTCAGGTCAGCTGCCGTCCTTCAGCGTTCCTTGCATGGTCTTACCATCTTCGACTCTGGCCCCTTTTCCTGTTCTCTATTCTCCTGCAATGCCCGGCCCGGTTTCTTCCACTCCTAGTGCTCTCCAAAACACAGGACCTATGAATTTCAGCTTGCCTGGCCTTGGATCAACAGCTCATCTTGTCGTCGGCCCTGCAGCCATGGTTAATCCAAAGTCATCCACACTCGCTTCTGCAGACCCTCAGCTCCAGGGTCAGCTCTCACTTAACCTGAGTCCGGTGATGTCAAGGTCAAACAATGTCATCCAACAACCTGAGTCCCCCATTTACGTGGGACATCCAGTCTCAGTAGTAAAATTAGAACAGGTGAGACCCAAAGTCATCCTAAAGACTCTATTACTCTGGGATAGAGTATGCCTGTGTCGAATCAGCTTCATTTTAGCCACGCGTCTGTAGGACAGAGGCACTAGGACAGGCTCTACCTAGCTTCCATTGCAGACCCAGAGTTATCTTCTTCTTTTATAAAGCACTGAGGCATGAGGCAAGAAATCCTGTGCTTTAAAGACAAAAAATATGTTTTTTAATTGTCATTCTGTTCTTAGAATTAGAGGGGGCCTATTATAGGCATAGTTCAGGGAGATTTTTGAGGAATGCTGAATATTTAGATGATTTCAGTGATCTCCAAGCTTTTATTTTATTGGGTCAATAAAGGAAACCACCCTAAATTTTAATTGTACAGCTATAAAGGCAATCGATGGAAATAGAAGTCTTGATACTAACTCAAAGATTCTTGTATCAGTTATTTCTTAAAATGTGATGTTTAGAGGCAGTATGTCTGTGTGTGTGTATACTCATAAAACATAAAAATGTACATACATACAGGTATATAATCAATATAAGTTAATTAGTACTGTATTTGTCCCCCAAATTCCATTTGTAGTTCAGTCAATAAATATTTGTTGAATTCCTCTTACCCATTAGGCATTATTCAGAGTGATTACTTACTCTCCTAGAGAAAGAGTTGTTTGACCAAAAATATTTTAGACAAGTTATTCAGAGGCTCCGAAGTTTGCTAGACATTGAAATAAACAGGTTAGTTTTTAAACAAGATGCTTATAGCATAACGTAATGCTTTTTGCTCATCAGTTAGGTGCCAGGCACCTATCTGGGCAGTGAAGAAATAGTAACCAGGATAATGGCCCTGGCCATTTCAGGGCACATTTAGGAGATAAATATTTGATATTTAACACGAGACGATAAATACTAGCAAGTAAACAGAAAGAGCCAACACATATACACTTACTATTTTGCCTCACATGCTCTAAGGTGCTTTACAAATACGATCTTGTTTAATTCTTACAGCCCTGTGAAGTCGGCACTTTTATCATCCCCATTGCAGGGATGAAGAAACTACGGGACAGGTTGATTAAGTAATTTGCCCAAGGTCACCCAGCTAGCTATGACAGAGCCCAGACCCTGGCTCTAGGTGCCACATTCGTAACTTCTTTGGTATACTGCCTGTCTGCACCCAAAATAAATGGATTTAGTTTCCAATTGTGATAAGTGTTGTAAAGAAGAAAAATGGGATGAGGGTGACAGGAAAGCAAAGAGGAGGGAAGCGCCTCCATCGGGATCATAATGAGAAAGGGCAAGGAGGGGCTTCCGTCCGGATCAGAGACTGAAAACAGTTTGACTTCACTTCTGTTTTTACTCTTTTTTGTTTAGTCACCAGTTCCAGTGACCCCCAAGAGCACCCGATGCACACAGTGCGAGACCTTTTTCAAGACACCTGGCAGCCTCGGAGACCCTGCCCTTAAGAGAAGAGAAAGGAATCAGTTAGGAAATGCCAGCTCCGCCCAGAGGAGACTAGAAATCCCCAGCGACGGGGCTGACTAACCTGCCTCTTTGCCAGGTGGGGGTCGGATCAAACCACCTGAATCTCCCCGTGTTACAGGCAACATCCTAAGTAGGATGCAGACCATCCGGTCGTGAGCACACGTGTCCTTCCTCTCTCTTTCATCCACTGGTTCTATTAACTTCCCACCATCATGAATCATCGATTTTCCTGAAAGTAATTTTTATTAATTGTGCATTTAATACCAGTTAGAATTCCGGCTGTCTGCATGGTGTCACAGTGAAAGCACCGGCTGACTTTTGTGGTTTTGATTCAAGAATCATCTTATTGCTGGAAGTAGATCTGAACAGGCTGCCAGAGCCTTGCGGTTTTTCTGAAGGGGGAGCTATCTAGCACTTAACTAGGGTAAGCATTCTTGACATGTATTTCCACTTGCCCTGAGTAAATCTGTGGTGAGAGAAACTTCCTTTCTGCAGTTTAAAAAAGCTACTGCTTCCTTAGGCTTCATCAGGAAGCCACCTTCAGTTGTGAATCCTATGGTATTATTTATTTTGTTCCTAAAATGGGATTTAGTGCAAAAAGTTTACAACTACAGCCTAACACATTTTTTTCAGGGTATGACGACTTGAATGTTTATCCTTTTTTCCTATAATTTGCCCTGCACTTATTCTGCAACCTAGTAACAATGTGGAAAAATGTATATACATGACAAATGTCAAGACCAAAATAACTGTGAATGCCACACCTTGCTGTAAATGAACTGTGCCAACACTATCTGTGGGCATGAGAACTAAGATAAACTCTAGCAGCCGGATCGCTGCTTTTCAAATAACTGAACAGTGAGGTTTTACTGTTCATTTCTAAAAATCCTACTGTGTTCAGTTTCCTTCACTACATGCCCTATGTTTTTTATTTAAATTTTAGCTGTAGAGTATCAGGTATGGATGCCTTCTAACAATTGCTATTTATAAAATAAATCAGGATAGTAGAAAGTAATTATATGGAAAATTGGAACTTGAATGAGACCTTTTAGTTGAATTGTTAAGAGTAATGGTGTAGAAATTGATTCAGGGCAATAGGTGATTTTTTTTATATTTCTTTTACTTCTTTTCTTCATGTTATGAAGGATAAGAGGGAAAATGGACACATTATGTTCCATATCCAAGAATATTCAAACCATAGTTAGATGGTACTTCTGAAAAATAAGAACAGTGAGTACAGGAGTTCATTGTTCTAGCATGAATACATTTCTGGAAGCTGTTATGCAATTTCCCTTTGTTAAACTTTAGGGGTTCATTAAGTAGCCAAACTAGTTTTTTGTGTTCCTAGATTTACTGATGTTTACCTCTTGTCTCTCCAGAAAGGAAGCTTCCTTCCTTCCTTCCTTCCTTTGTCTTTTCTTCCTCTCTTTCAAAACTTCTGTCTTAGATTTAGAATCTTGGTGTAGGGTTTTATTTTATTTTTATTTTTGGACCCAATAAAATATTATATGAAAGAATAAAAATATTAATTTAAGAGACTCTGGGAGTCTTAAGTAAAGTAGCTTTTTATTAACTACAGGATAATATTGTCCCTACAAGATTTTTAAAAACTTGAGGTAGGTAGCCCCATTAAATAAATTTGCTACTTATATGAAATTTTTATCAACACTAAACTTTTAAAGTTTACAAGATGGTATTTTTTTCCCTTTTTTACAATCTTCTCTAGAGTTAGATTAAAAATGTAGTTCTCACTTTCAACAATTGCATGGTAATGATTACCCTGAACTAATACTGATGGGTTTCCTATCAAAACAAATAAAAAGAAGCCTTTTTCTGGTAAATTATAGAATACGCAGCATATAAATCTGTGCAGGGTATATCCATTTTAAATCTGCCATGCTTAAGAACTTACATAAAATATTTTCACTGAGAGGTCTGCGTTTAGATGGAAACACAAACTGGTTTTCCCCTCACTGCTCCTGGATGTTCTCCACTTTTTGTAACTTCTTGGCTGTCCTTTTTATTATTATTATTCTACTCTCAACTATGACCATATTAACCTCAAAGAATTCAGGTTCTTGAGGGGTGTTAAGAAGCAATCCCATAAATGAGAATATTATGACATCGTGACTATCCTTAGCAATAGAAAACCAAGGACAAATGACGTTTGTATTCAGTACCCACTTCTTAATGTGGCTTTAAGATCATGTAAAAATAAAATAATGCAGTGGTGGTTTCTGTCAGGAAAGTGAGTCTTTCTTACAGAACGACCGATGGTAGTGAAGCTGCTGAGCTAGACTTGGTAGTTAGGAAGCAATGGCAATCTTGAGTCTATCATTGTATAATTTAGTAAAAGAAAAAAATAATGGCTGGTGATCCTGCTAAGAAAATGCAGCTTTGAGTCGGCACTGAGGGTGCGTGTGCCCTGCGCTGTCCAGGGTTTGTGAAACCCTTTCATGCTGGTACAAGAGTTGGGGGTATAACTTTTATACTTGAATCTACCTACCAAGTTTACATTTCTCAATTCCTTTTTGTAAGGTGCTATTTCTGTATTTAAATAATGTTTTTTTTAAATGTAAAGCTGCTTTCTGCTTATCTTATTGCACTGCTAGTTTTATGTAGGGATTAATTTTATTACTGCTTACTCCTTTTGTTTTCATGTTATTTAGCTGTGCTCTTTTTCCTAATGGCTATATTATCTATAGCTATCTGCTTGTAACTTTCCTACGTGTAAATTGATTTTTTTTTTTTAGAAAAATGTTAAGCTTTATAAAATAGCAATAAAAATTAATTCATTCAATAAGAGATGTTGGTTATATTTCTTGGTGGGCTTTCTTTGCCTACCGTTTTCAGTAAAACCATTAACAGTTACAACATAGCCAATCAGGCCCTTATAAACCCAAGTCAGATCTTTTTGCTGAGACCTCCCAGTGGTTTTCAAATACCAAAATTTACTACATCAGAATTACATGGGAGCTTGAGAGTGTTGAGGTGCTATGCTATTGAGATTCTGATTTCTACTGAGTCCAAATCACTGTAGGTTTGGAGCTTCCAGATGATTCTGATGTTTATCCAATATAGGAATCACAGGTGAGTGTAGACTACCCCCTGACTTCTCATGGTATCCATAAGGTTAAATGCTTCTCAGCCTAGCAAATGCTCGCCTTTACTTCAAAGTCAAATTCTGTTGTTTCTATTGTTAACCCTCACTTTTAAATAAGTCCAAGCAGACTTAATCTGATTTTCCCTAGCTCTTCATATGTCCAGAGAGTCATCTATGTTGCCCTGTTGTCAGACTCCCCTGCTAAATTGCGAGGTGGGACTGGCAGATATTTGAGCTGATTCCCATGGACAGTTCTTTAGAGGCCTCATCTTGGGAACATTGGCTTGAATTTCCTGTGATGCAGGCAATACATTTTCCTCCAGCTGCTGTTCTCCTTTGGTGTCTGGCTTTCCTGCAGTCCACTCCACAGACTCTCAGGTGGGATTTTTGGAATGTTCCCAGGCTGACACTGTCTCCCATCAGCCCACATCCGGTGCCCTTTGTCCTGATTCTAGAAGAGAAGACCCAGCCAAACTCACAGGCCTTTCCCTCCACTGCCAAAACTGCTGGCCTATACATCACCCCGAGGTCCCCCAGGCAAGTCACGTACCAGAACACACCTCCCACTGCAGGATAGAGGTGGGAGGCCAGTGATACCGTGAACATCTCCACCTGTTGGCTTTTCAGTGGCAGAGGCAAGGAATTCCAGCATAACTCTCGAAAGAAATCCTCACTAAATCCATTTCTTCAACGCTTTCACAACCTTATTGTGGGTGTAGGGATTCAATAGTTGCATAGCTAGTTTTGCAGAACCTCTGTCAATCTTGCAGAGTGAACACCTTTGGACTGCAACATACTTGTAGCTTGGTGCGACAGCCACGCTCACCATTTAATATCCTCTTATAACAGTTATAAAGCTTCCATTGTCCAGGATTTGCATTTTCCTAGATGATTGTTATGGCACTTAGTTTCATAGTTATCAGAGTTTGATAAGTTTCATACTTATCAAAGTAATTTTCAATAGCCATTGGTTTCTTTTTATTGTGAAGATCAGTTTGATTAATTCAATGCCCTTTCTGACCTAAAAAATGCCTCTGAAATTAAGAAATCATACCTAAAGCTTAAATCATTTTCTCCTTTTCATTCTAAATCACATCTAAGTCCTTTTTTGTAAATAGCCCACTGGTAGTCTTCAGTTTGCCTGGCTGTTCTATACAAGCATCCAGTCTTTCCCCAACTGTGCTCTCTGAAGAACTCAGCTGTTGATACTAAGAATCAAATAAAACTAACACCAGTAAAACAAAATTAAACAATGAATTTTTTTTACTATTTATTAGAGACTTAAATTCATAAGAACTATAGTTTTTTTATATATGTTCTTGTATATGTTTTATATATATTTTTAAACACGTTTGATTATGAGACAATTTTTTTCTTAGAGCATCTTACAAAATGAGAGTTTAGCAGAAGGTACTTTGAAAAGCAATGAATTAATCCTCAAACAACCCTCTAACACTACTCTTCACTGGAAACAAAAAAAGATTAATATTAGCTTCTTAAAGGCAGACACCATAGATGATTTATGTCTATATTCACTGCCCCAAAATGTGGATCCAATAAAAAATTGGGGGGAGAATATTGGATCAATGAGTTATCACAAATATTTTTTTAAAAATCCTTAGAGGGCTTTTTCAGGCAATTTTAGGTATTTATATATAGCTTCTTTTTTTGGTTTTGGTTTTGGTTTGTTTCTCAGTTTAGAGACTGACCTTCACGGTGTCACCCATGTTTGTTTATAAAACAAATTTCTTTTTATTTTTTTATTTTTTTTACATGAGCCAATTTCTATAATATATAAAACAAATTTCATCATGACGATCCTGCTTTTAAACTTTTAGTGGCATCCCATGTGGCATTTTCCTGACTTCTCAGCACGCCCTTCCAGTTCCCACAGTCTGGTTCCAACATGCCTTGCTAGCTATGGGAGACACTGCTGGCTGACTGGCCCTGGGCATTCATTTCCACTCCCCTTCTAAGTTCTCTTTCTCACAGGGGCTGGAAGCCTGGCAACGACACTTCCCAGATGCCCTTGCTACCCGGTGCTAGATGTGATCTTGTTGGTAACATACACTCATGCAAGATTTGGTAAGTAGAAAAGAAGCTGGGGCCATTCTTCCTCTTACAGTAGGAGCAACTCATGCACAGATTGCCGCAGACTCAGTTTTGGCAGCAGCCATACTTTATCCTCCTGTCTAGTC